AGAGGTCTCAGAGTACCTGACCCTCCTAGGTCACAAAGACCTAAATTCCGATCAGGAGATCAGGCAGGTAGAACAAATAATAGGATCCTAACTGATCTCACATCACGGATCATTCTTTCTTGGCCAACTTTCTTTTGTATACTTAAATTACAGTTTACATCATTTCACTGTTAAAAGTTGGGAACTATCTAAGATACAAGTTCTCCTCAGAAGGTTGTTATCTCATGCTCAAACTGTATGTTAAATGCGCATACTTTCAGAACGTTTATGATAACTCTGCCTCTGAGTTTCTAAAAATAGTATATTTAATTTTATACGAACACACACGCACCAGGTATAAGCACCGGTGATTATCACAGTAATACATTTTCTCTAAAGATATCACACATACTAAAATAGTACAAGTCCCTGATTATTCTACCAACATTTTCCCCCTCTAGAAATATAACAAATGGTTACTGTACCTGTTATTATAATTACCTTGTGTCATCATTTTACTTCGCAGATTAGGCTGTCTCATATATTTACACATAAATATGTGCGCATTATTTGTATGGGCTATCACCATATTTTTTTTTTTTTTTAGTTTTTTTAATGCTCAAGCTTTTGGCTCAATTACCTAAGCCTTCTACAGGTGCTAGATGTTTAGTAAACAAATACGTTAAAAGCCTGAAAAGTTACTTATGTGCGCATTATATAGTGCTTTCGCAAGAGACAAGTGTTGTTCAGTGGTTAGCGTGCTGGACTATAGATCTGAGGTTTCGTTACCGCCAAAAAACAAGATCGCTCTCCACACTTTGGGGCTGTGGGTCTCTCTAATCACCACTTACCAAATTATGGACTGTTAGTTTTCCTGTAGCTGTGCGTGTAATTAAACATACGGACAGTTTCTTACAAAATTTTGAAAAGTGGGATTCTACTAATCTTCTCAAGAAACTTAATAATTTCTTTAAACATTTCAATTGTGAACGTATGCCCATTTAAAAGTCTAAAATACTATATTTTCTGAGGAAACGAACGTGCGAAAAGATTGTCACATGTAACTCAATCTCAGTTTTACCTGGTCCTAATCTGTTATGAAAATCGCGAATGCCTCTAGCATATGTTATTACTACGAACACCACATCCTAACACAGCAAATCTCACATATAATAATATAGAAAAAAAAAAATTCAACAAAAAATTGGTTTTAGAAGCTTCATTAATTGAGATCTGTACAGTTGGACATTTAGATGAAATTATCCCACTGATTATCTTAATATTAAATCGTTTAGTGTGTCTAACCTTATGGTACCAAAAAGCACCGAGCAGCTCATGAAAAAAATAATAAATTGTGCAGCACGTGATAGGTTAAATTAATTATGAATGTGCCTGGAAGAAATTGGTGACGTGAGAGACAAATCTCTGCGGGCGATGCTGTAATCTTTACCTACTACAAAGAGTCAAGATAAATAAATACCGAACTTACTGAAAACCGAAGTAACTGGGAGGACGAACCCGTGTTAAAAACTGAGCTGTTCCAAATTCAAGAAACATTTATAGAAAGTTATTGATTGTCGCTGGGTGATGACGTAATGGTGTGTAAGTGTACTACTAAAAGCTCTTCCTGAGTACGTTCTGCCCGCAAACGCATTTGAATTTAATTTGTCGATACATAATTATTAGCCTCACAGCGGTATGTCTGCGGACTTACAACGCTAGAAACCAAGTTTCGATACCCGTAGTGGGCAGAGTACAGATAGCCCATTGTGTAACTTTGTGCTTAACTTCAAACAAATAAACAAACATAGTTTACTCGAGAGTATGTCGAAGTTGTTTTTAGTGACTAGGCCTATTGTTTATGTTCTATAAATGGTAAATTTACAATCGAGATATACTACATCGTATTGTATTGCATTTTAAGTCCCCCGTTCTTAAGACAACATTCATCAGTACACAATACCATATGTTTTACACAAATAAGCCCTGGATTTTAACCTTATTATCGCCCACTAGGCTCTTCCACCTAGCATTGCTTGCATGGTTCTATATCATAGTATTTAGATTATGAGAAGCAACAAATATTTACAAGCTACAGATTCTATCAAGATCTGTGCAATATAATTGTGACAAGGTACATTGTATATAGAAGTAGCACTAACCAGATATGAAATGGGAAGTATGGTACGGGGTTTGGCGTGGCCAGGTGGTTAGAGCGCTCGACTCGCAATCTGAGGGTCGCGGGTTCGAATCCCCGTCACACCAAATATGCTTTCAGCCGTGTGGACGTTATAATATAACGGTCAATCCCACTATTCGTTGGTGGAAGAGTAGCCCAAGAGTTGGCGGTGGATGGTGATGACTAGCTGCCCATCATATCACGTCTAAGAAAAACGAACTATCTTCACAGTTTGTAAACGTCGTCACACGACTTCTCAACCGATAGCAGACTTCATCTTCACCCATGGCTGCTCTCTTGAATTCCACCATTTTAAAGCAGAAAAACCATACCGGAAGCCTCGCCCATCCCTACTCTAACCAGTATACCCCATTCGCAACCTCCAAACAACACTCCCCCCCTCCCCCGCCTACCAGAACTCCACAACCCACACTACAATCCAACCAACTACAATAGACAAAGAAACTCGGACTACGCCCACACCGGGAACAGAACTACAAGCCAAGACCACTCAAACAACTGTAACAAGAAGGAAAAAAGGTTCTCAGACCCAACCGCCAGTCGAAGCATCACAACTAACCAGCAACCTGTCTGAACGCTCCTCAGCCCAGATCCACATTCCGCCCTCTCCTTGTCAAACTCACACAATACTTTTGTCATCGACATCTCCGCCGACCACGACATACCCGATGATTCTTTCCTCGCTTACCGCCCACCTACCAGCGACACCGTCAAAACCCTATCTGAACTCGAACCCTAGTGAATTCCGGACGAACATCCGAAGAATCAGAGACTCCACGTAGCCTTCAGTACCAGCCTTCACTTTGCCCTTCCAACTTATTTCTTCTCGCTAACTGGGCATTGGTAACGGATTGGTTCTTTATCAGTAAAAGTGGATTTTCTCACATCAAATTTTTGGCATAGGAGTTATAGATCCACGCCGCCCTGAAGGACCAGTTGTCCAAGATCGGCTGTTTATTATTATCATTATTATTACTATTATTAATATCAATATAATTACTAGTCTATTAGTTTAACTTATTCACTCCCATCAAGCTTTCAGCCCTTTCAACTCACCTACAATTCAGCCCCTTACTTTACCAACTTCTACAAATTAGGTTCACATCACGTCTTATTCACGAGCGAGGTGAAGGAGGATTGCTCAATCTTCGAGCATACCCGATGATATATTATTGTAAAATAATAAACGTTCACCTTTAATATTTTTGGCACCATAACAATACAAGAACGAGTCATAATTTGTATCTGTACTCGTGATTTTATAATTGTGACACTTATAGCATAAATAACACAACAATTACATCGAATACATTATGATATGATATATATAGCCATTCAAAAGCAGCACCTGTACTTTTGAAGCTCTAAACCTGACATATGTACATGAAATCACACAGTTTCATAAAATACACAAAAATCGTGCATTTTTGAAATAAGGCTTATAACAGGAAATTGTTTATTTCAAAATATCTATTAATTCCATAGAATAAATTTTATTTGTCATAGGTTTCTTATAAGATTCAAAAATAAAAAAATACTGTATTGAAAAGAAACGTTCAGTATATCGTACGAGTTAGAAATGTCTGCCGCTACTTCTATCGTCCACGTGCTAAGCGATCGTCATAATATAAACACGACCTTACTTTGTCGCCCTCTACACACAAAACAGAACATTTCTCGCCGGTCACACCTTTTAATCTGTAGCGAAACATCTTCAGCGTTGCAAACGTGGAACCGCTCTAGTCCAGAACTTGGTTGGTTATGCCCGCTTTGAACCGGATTCTTCCTTACTGGAGATAAAAATCCAGCCTGCGTCGCTTCTCCAACATTGCGGTATTTGTCATTGTGGAAAACGTCTCGTGTGGAAAGTTGAACTGAATCGTATTATATTCAACTTGCGAAATGTCCGGAAAAGAAGGAGCTGGTTAGTTTTTATAGTTTATTTTAGAATTTTGTAGTAGGCTTTTTGTTAGCTAAATTTGTCGGAAACGTTATGCTTATACAAAGGTTGAAATAAAGTTTCATTTTAATAATTACCAATCATAAATTTATAAAATACTGCATTTTAATCTTTTATAAGTTAGGACGTAAGACAAGTATATTTAATTGGCTATACTCATTACCGTTTTGACTTAGTTTTGATATAAGTAGATAGCTTGATTTGAGCGGAAGTTAATATTATTGTTTTAAATAACACTTAATAGTATTTTAAAGTAAATAAAAGAAAATAACTCGTTACAAAGGTTAATACCAATTTCATTAAAAGTCTTTATTTCTATTTATAGGTAAAAAGGGAACAACCAAACAAGCGAAAGAAGAAGGGGTAACTAGCTTTTCAAAACACTTCTATGTTTCTTTTATTATTGTTCTAAATTTAAGATGTCCAATAAAAAAAATCATAATGACATATATAACGTTTAGTAGTTGTGTACTTATCAATATTATAATCATCATATTATTATTATTGGCCCGGCGGTTAGGGTGCTCGACTCGCAGTTTGCGGATCGGCGGGTCGAATTCCCATCACCCCTTACATGCTCGCCCTCTCAGTCTTAGGGGCGTTATAATGTAACGGGCAATCTCACTATTCGTTAGTAAAAGAGAAACTCAAGAGTTGTCGGTGGGTGGTGTTGACTAGTTGCCTTCCTTGTAGTCTATTACTGCTAAATTAGGGAGGGCTAACGCAGATAGCCCTCATGTAACTTTGCGCGAAATTAAACAAAAAACGGAACAATGTTATTATTATTATTATAAATTCAAAAGCAGCAGTATTTTTTCGATTAGAGTACAACCGTCGTTTTCCTTTAACACTTGATGTTAGGCATGGTTTATATTTATAAAAATAGAATATAGAAGTAGGGTTTTTAAAATTAATTTAGGTAAAAATGTTTTTTGGAATTTATAAAGAACTAATGAATTCGGTGAGATTAGTGTATGTAATGAATTTAAAAGAGTTGCGCAGGAGTGTGGAACTTACATTGTTCTTCTCTTTCAGGGAGCTCCTAAAACGCCCGAAAAGAAGGAAGGCGAGGCTCCTAAAAAAGGAAAAGGTAATATGAAAGTTTTGTTCTTAATGAGTTACTGGAAACTGTATATCGTTGAATATTTAGAGAAATAATTACATTCCTCTGTTCTTTACTTTTAGGAAGGGGTAAGAAGGCAAAGTGAAGATTTCTACGGTATAGCTTGCTTTAACTGAAGGTAAATTAACGTTCATATAGTTTAATGTACTTTAGACCGCAATAATCTTTAACGAATTTTAAAAGTACAAATATTATATAGTTACTTAATAACGTAATTAGTAATGATTTATAAGAACTCCAGATATGTTGTGCGTAAAACTTGTAAATCACATGGTAGATTATAATGGAATATTATATTTTTATTTCTTAGATGGAGCTGCCTGCTTAGTTCGGAGTTGGTTAATGTGTCAGTCATGTTTTCCGTAATTTTTAGAATGTTTGATTTTCATTTTTATAACACTTCATTTCATGTTTCATGTCCATTTTGTGATAATAAAACATAGTGATTTTTTTATTACTGTTTCCGTCTTATTTAAAACAATTTTTACTTGAAATGGCTTTCAAAATGCTTACATAAAGTCATGGGGACAAGCATATAGGAACAGTGGAAGTTAAATTTCTTACTTCCTCTAACGTGTGATTTATCAAGTGACATTCAACTTCCACAAGGACCTACAAAACTGTAAAAAAAGTATCAAGAAATTGCACGATTTGTCTAATAACATTCTTGGCCTTGCTGCCATCATTCCATTCGTCTCTGGCCCGGCATGGCCAGGTGGTTAGGGCACTCAAACTCG